TAAGTCACGGCGTAAAAGAATTAATTTCATTTAGTGGTTGCATGGGTTGAATGGTTTCATTTGTAATATCAAAATCACGTTTTTTGCGCGTAAGATAAACTTACACGTTTCATGACAATGCAAATACACGTGTGACATATACGTTCCGTAATATACGCGGTTCGACATAGCTTTCTCATATATTGGTCACTTTTTACCATAACTGAACACTTCCATGTACCCATTTATTGCATATTTCTATAATAAAATTACCAATAGTATGAGTCAATGGCTAGAAAGGAAGTCATATATTTCGACATTTCTTGCTTTATTTATCAATTTTATTATATATTTTTCCAGATTTTTAAAAAAATAAAAGTGGCTTAATTTTCAGAAAACAGAAATATGACACAGTCACTTCAAAAACATGTAGTATGCAAACACGTCTTGAGATATAGCCAAACAAGTATTAATATTTATCAAAACCATTTCCTTCATATATCAACCTCCAAGTTTCCCCAGTTAAATTATTTGAGCTGAATGGTAATTCTTTTGAGAAATTACACTTTGTGCAATGTTGTTGAACATGTGCTTTACAATCTTAACGGTATGAAACTTTGTATTGTAATGATGATTTTTGTACTGTCCGTCAAGTATAGCTAAAGTTTTGATACATAGGTATATTACGCCTTACAAGAACACAAACTTCACCAGATATATTCCACTCGTCGTGTTTGAATTGTGTGCCACATGCCTTTAAAACTGACTAGGCTTTGCAATTTCTTTTTAAGAATTTGCAAACTTCTAAAATATAATGTTTTTTTTAGATTGGGAAGCAGTGTATCTTAAATGAAACTTTTAATGATGGACATTTTGCTAGATGCCTGATCAGGAAGCAACGTTTCCAAAACGGGAAGTGGCTAGTTTAAAACTTTGCTGAAGTTCACTTTCAGATTATTTTAATTTTAGACATTTTAAAGCTGCATGCCTCCAGATGAGTCGAGAAATATTTCAATAAAATCAAACTTGAGAAATATGCACTACGATTTTCGGAAAAGTTAAATGATTCAAGATTCAAGTAATATTTCACATGTTATGTGCGGTAATTTTTCAGTATTTACAATTATATTTCTACTGCGTTACTAACGCAGTGAGGGCTATCTATGCATATTTTGTCAACGTTTGTGGTAATTTACATAATTTACGTGGATTGTAAGTGCCATTGATCATGAGTAAGTTGCTTCCTTTTGGCTTTTTCAAAATATCATACATTCAAATACATTTTCAAAATGTTCATGAAAATTAGCGTGAATCTGGAGGCGTGCTGCTTTAATAGAAAATATCTTTTCTGAACAAAAGGTTGATATTTATATTGAAGTGGGTTGAATACTTCCTGATTGTGAAGAATTTCGACGTTTGCTGCCTGACCGTGAAACCTTGAAGGGGAATCCCCTTGTTTCCCGATCAGGAAGTATGCCCCACTGATTAATAATAAGACAGATATCGATTTACTTAATCTAAACGTACGAAGTGTAGCATATTTCTGTACATCTTTCGAAACTTTTAAGCATGCACTACAGAAGAAATATAGTCGACACGTCTGTAGTCTATGTTTAATGTGTGTCCATCTGCACGTTACGGCAGAAAAAGGAGCTTTCGCAGTCGAGTACGGACCTGACATGCCTTTAAAAGTTATTTTGAAGCACAGAGTGGTGACAATTTACCTCCATGCAATTGTCAAGAAATTTATTAATTTTGAGCCATATTTAGGCCACCGTACGGCTGCCAATAAAAACCTACATGTACGAGGGGTTATCCAAAACTTCATTGGCTTTCTTCGTTGCGTGAAATACATTTGAGATATTGATTTGAAAAACTTACACTGCTTAGAAGAATTAAAATAAACACAGAAAAAAGTCATATATCCCTGACCTTCTAGTCCCCTTCCCCAACACCTCTTTACGCTTGTAAGTCTATAAGTTGTCGTCTCTTAAATTTCCTTGCAGGTTTCTATTATTTCCTATTGTGTATTATCATAGTAATCTCCCCGTCCGTGCTTTGGCTTGTGCCCTGTACTGTTTTTATTTGGGGTCCTGCTGGACTCCATGGCGGTGGTTCTGTGCTGTTATGTCGTGTGGAGTTGCGTTTATTGAACGCCACCCTTCCTTGTTGATCTTCTTCTTCATATTTACATGGCACGAGGTACATTGCTGATAATGGTGATTATTTCTTGAGTTTGCATGAACATCTGCTTGTATCGGAGAATTAATGTCTTCCATGTTATTTCAAGGTTAATTAATGTGCGGGCCTATTTTGGAAAGAAGATGACAAAGGGTTGTTCGTATATCAGTAGTCAAAAAATCGAATTCATCTTGCACAGTTGGTCCAATATTTTAACACAGAAATGTTAATTTACATTTGAGAGAATTAGTCCTCAGTTTTTGGTTATATTATTTATTAGTAATTTGACGTTTCACTTCATTTTTGTAGTTATTTCGATTCATTATCAAGACTTCTTAGATTTGTCAGCATTTTTATAGTAATATTCTATTCTATTCGTGTTTCTTTTGTAACGATAATTCATATTTAGAACTGATACTTAAATGCTTATTCTAGTTTTTACTTTTGTAGGATTAATTAGAAAATAACATTTGTATAAAATCTAAAATTCATCTCTAAATAAAGATAAAGTTTTATTTTTGTATTCATCTTGTTGTAAATGTTCATGTTCTAACTCCTTTAGGTGAAATGCCTATTACCTGCACTCCTTGCCAGAATATTGCAGTTGAGTCAATATCACCTGTATCAGAAAAGGGAAATAGATACATATTAACTGTAGTTAATTATGCTACTCGTCACCCAAAAGCTGTTCTTTACTAAGAATTGAAACTGAAAATATAGCCGAAGCATAGTTGGATATTTTGCAAGAGTATGTTTCCCATCGGAAATAATTAGCAAAGTATTCTTTTTTACTTTCTCTTGTATTAAATTTAAAATCAAATCTTTGATACAGTCATGCGAATTAGTTTAGGACAAAACGTCAGTCCTTTTCTAAACAGAATCTTCGTTTGTGAGATCTTTTGAAGACAAATTTAAATTGGTCTCTCTCGATTCCGTGTTTTCTCTATGCCTTTTATTTGGACCACGAATGATTAGTTGACCTTTCTTGTATACGTTCTTGTTGCTGAAACAAGCTGCGCCACTGTTATTTCCTGCTATGTAATGTTTCCTCTCCCTCCCCTCGTAACTATTGGTGCATGTGGCGCTTATGTTTCATTATTTATCTGTGGAACACGTATTACATATAGGGAAATATTTGTTTGATTGTTGAGATTTGAAATTATTTTTACAATGAGCCAGTTTCTTCTTCCGCGATACTCGCTGCGATACATTAATGACTCACGAGTTTTTTTTGTTTCATACGTTGAAATTAAATTTCGTCGCTTGGGACTTGATTTTGAGTGTTTATAGACTTGATTTTCTTGTCATGCCTATATGATGGTTCTTGGTTGTTTTTTGGTGGGTTTTTTTTGGTGTTTTTTTTTCCGAATATTTCTTTATCAAGTTGATATAGAATTTCAGGTAAATGAATTTTCATTCTAAATCAAACTTTATGTAATACTTTTTAGCATATCTTAACTGACTATTCATAACATGTTCACAAATGTCAGCACTTACTATTTATTAAGCAGTCATCTACTGATGTCTGAAAATCTTATCATCATCAACAACAACTCAAACATTAAGTTTAAGTCGAAATTTTTTCGGAATAACATATTTTTCTTTACGCCGTTAAAGGAAGCTTGTGTGGGTTATACTTTTTATATGGTTTTTTTTACCAATTTTGTTAAATGTCTTTTACGTGGATCTTGAGATGTAATTATTGTTGAAAAAGATGATAAACATTGATTGAAATTAAAAAAACAACACTTAATTTCTTCAAAATTTTCGGTTAATAGCCTCATCAGAATAATAATGCATAACGTACAGACGTGGTGCCAAGTAGAGAACGTAACGCGGCAAAATTATTGCATTTTTTCATCTTTTCATTTTCACAAAGTGAAGATTTAAATGTAGCAAAACAACTAAGAGGAAGTTATGGATACCGCATATTTTAATATACATCTGTGTTATCAGTTAAACAATTAATACACTCTTGACTTCTACCTATTTGACAATGAGAAAACATATGTATGCATTGTTACAATTAATGCTGACACGAGGAAGCGAAATAAACTTGAATGTCTTATATAATTATTGTATATCCATCACTGATGTATTTTCATTTTCATTTTTCATTCCTTGTTTATTATGTTAGATATTCTTTCCAATAATTTAAGTTGACATAATCAACGGATATACATCAATATGAAAAATCCCTTCAGCAATGCTCCATCTATATTTTGTCTTATCAATTTATCCGATATTCACCCCCGTATTCAGTGGATCATATTCGATGTGTGTACAGATTCAAAACGAAATTTCATCGAGAAGCAGGTATGTACGGCTGTCCCGCGCCTGAAAGATTTGTTTCGTGTTAACAAAACAATATCGAGACACTCCATGTATAACGTGTTACTGGACCGGCAACCCAGAGACCCGTGGTTCGAGTCCGGCTGCGGCGTGCCAATATTTTGTGTATGATTTCCTGTCCATGACTTTCTTATTTTCAAATTCACAAAGTTTAACTCTTTAGCGCTATAACATAACAAAATAAAGAGTCATGAGTCAGAAATTATACATAGAAAATCACCTGTAAATCGATCGAATCTCCAAGGGTCTAATTAGCAAAGTCGTTTATAAAATTCTCAACAAAATGATTTGTCATGTTGATCATCAAAATGTTTAAGATGTTTGTTTTACGTCATTTTCTTTCAATTTGACCTTTATAAAGAAGTATCAATCAATTGTATTTCGGTCGGTAATGCAAGGGAAATTTTGCGAATAAAACTATACAATAATGCTTTAAACTATATATATATAATTATTCAAGCAAGGATAAATCGCTTAACTACCACTTCTTTAAACTCTTGACATGAAGGTCAAACCAAAGTAAAAAACTCGTCTAGGAAGATATAAACTTATCAGTGATATCTTATCAGTGTGAATAAAATTAAACGAATACAAAGATAATATTGGATTTCAGGACTTTATATCATCTGTTTAAACAAAAAGTTGGTATAAAATAGGGTAAATACATTCAATAATATCTGTTTAACTTTTACATTTTTTTCATTTCAATGCGCCCGAAAAAATCGGCGTATGTTAATATGCTACTGGCAGTCTGTCCGCTCGTCTGTCTGTCCGACCGACAAATTGTAAGCAATTTTGTATCTGCTCTATATCTTTTAAAACGATATAAATAAATTGACACTACTTGATAGAAATTTTAACCACAATGAGACAATCTGCAGAGTGAAGGTTTGACCTTCTTCTGGTCAAGAAGAAAGTAACTCGGGTTTTATGTATAAATTTCATTTAGTTGTGAATCGTATATTACATGTAAATTATTACTTGTATCTTTTAAAGAAAGTTTATTTGAGTGTTATTCTGTGAAACTACTATGTCTAGAGCTTAGATATACGGCATTTAGCAATATCTTGTGGACCCCCACAACACCGATTTTAGTCATGCCTCTAAGATATGTATCTCGTCTCTGGTGTTACCTGATTTATAAAGACTTATTTAGGAAAAAGACATTTAAGTTTTATAATGTATAACTAACGAAACGAAAATACCCAGATCTTAGATATTTATTACGTAACAATGCTTAGATTACCTCTACAGAAGTAACATAAATTATGAACCTGGGGTGAAGATTAGCACTTCAGAGGGGTCACGCAATTTATGTAGACTTATAAACATATTTCAAAATAATGAACTCCAAAACTATAAAAGTCCAGAACTTTGTAGTCTTCTACAAAAGTTATATTCACCATGATCCTGGGTTCAAAATAAGCCCTGACCTTGGAGTCACATGTCCAATGTAGATTGGTATATAAGAAATCATGTCGAACTTCTTTGTAAAAACTACAGTGCTAAGAGCGAATACACTGGACATCTATCATTGGCTAGTACACTTCTATAACACTTTCATAAATCATGCAGCAAGAGGGTTATTTAGTATTAAATTAATTACCAAGAGTTTGATCAAATTTCGTGAATGGTTTTCTTCCATAATTAAAAGATTATGGTATGATCACTTAAACAAATAATTCGCGAGTGTTTTGTCTCGTCTTAGCAGTGTCCACGTTTCAATACTTTTTTATTAATTCAATGAACATATGAGTGTCAAAGAAATTATGAATACTGTATATATTTATTTATATTACAGACAAGGTTTAAATATGGAAAACAGTGCGTATCTTTTTGGCACCATTTTGATGACTGCTAACCTATTTGTGGCGGCAATAAACGGCTGTGAAATTGATGAAATCAAGACATACAACCTGTGTTCCCCAAATATGAATTTCACCATGAACTGCAGAAATCTATCTTTGACTGAGGTACCTAAATCGTATCCAAATCAAAAGCCTGAACTCTATGATAAGGTTTGTGCTATTGATTTGAGTCTGAATTCATTTTCCGACCTCAAAAATGGAACGTTTCTAAACGTCAGTAATTTGAATACTTCAACAATTCGAATTCTTAATTTCAGTTTTTCAAATATCTCGTACATATCAACAGAAGCATTTCAAGGTTTAAAATATTTACAATATCTAAATCTTTCGGGAAACTCCCTTTCGTGTCCGGATGGATTTGGAAAAGGTGTATTTGAATTTCTGATCAATCTTAGATATCTGAATATTAAAGAAAACAATTTTGACACATTCGATTGCTTAGGTAAAGAGCTGGGATATTTGAGGAATTTAGAAGGACTGTATGCTGAACTTTGTGAAAACTGTGCGTTTGGTAAAGACTTTGAAAAACTTCTAAATTTGAAAAATGTAAGTTTATCTGGTCGCTCCTCAGGCACTTGCAATGCTAAAGTCCTTCATAACTACACATTTGAAGGTCTCACTATGGTGAAAGGTCTTTGGTTGTCATCTTGTAATATTTCTGAAATAGAGGCAAACACATTCAGACCAATGAACAAGAGTTTAACTCATCTTGATATATCTTATAACGAAAAAATTCAATTTCATGGAATGAACAAAGGTCTTTACGGACTAAGATTTTCTTCCGCTTTGTCGGCTTTAAATGTAAACCGGATTCACAATGTACACGAAATCGGCGTGAAAATAAAGGCTTCTGACCTAGAGAATCTTAGTACGTTACAAAATTTGTCTAAACTTTTCATGGATCTCAATAAAATAGAAATCTTTGATGAAGAAGTCTTTTTTCCTACAAGTAAATTTCCTACTTCGCTAAGGGTTCTTACTATTGCAGGAAATAGAATATCTTTTGGAAAATATATAGCTTTTATTCACACTGCTGCCAATATCACGTGCCTAGATATATCAAGACAACATCTTTATTACGACCCTTTTATAAATGAGCACTACGGACGCGAGGTAATGAATGAAGAATCTCTAAGTGTTGATGATGTTTGCTTCAAAAAATCAAACAGTTTTCAAGTGTACACCTTTCCAAGAAACTGCTCGCTGTTTATTCCTCCAAATTTGCGTCGGGTAAAGTGGAGGAAGAGTTTCCTCAATTTCGATTTAAACGATAAAGTTTATCATATCTGTGGAGCAACAAATCTTCTCTCATTGGATTTATCATTTAATCTTTTCTCGAAATGGGTAAGTCCGATAAAAGGACTGGAAAATCTAAAACATCTTGACCTATCAGAAAACTACTGCAATGAGGTTGCGCCTAACTTTTTCGATCATTTCACAGAATTACAGCGTTTGAATATATCCCGAAACTATTTAGGAACCACTTTCGAGAAAACATTAACGTATGAGCACGGTGGAATATTTAGGAACTTGACACAATTAATAGATCTTGATTTGTCACACAATGAGATTGTACGATTTTTAGATCGTGGCTTACTCAAGGGGCTGACAAATATTCACCATTTATATTTACATTCCAACCGTTTAATTGAATGGGACTATGACATGCCGAACTCTCTTAAGCTCATAGATTTGTCGCAAAATAAACTATCAAATCTCTCTTCCAAAGTAAGAGATCACTTCGACAAGGTTTGTAATAAATGTACTTGCAACATGACTCTCATATTGTTAAACAATTTCTTTAAATGTGACTGTGACAATCTACCGTTTTTAACTTGGATGTTGTCTACCAATGTGAATATCAAAATTGATACATGTATATTGAACTCTGAAGAGAAGGGAATTTCGAAGAAAAGTGATTTAAAGAAAATAATTCATGACTTAAAAATGGATATCTGTAACGATAAAACCTGGATTACATGGACCGTTGGAACTGTTTGTGTAGTGTTTGGAAGTTTAGTTAGTATTGTGGCTAGCTTAATGGTTTATAGATATCGTTGGAAACTAAGATATCTATATTACAGACGAAATAGACGATTTAACCACGAGGGATTTGAACGTCTTTTTGAAAATGACGCATTTGTATCTTATGCAAAGAGCAATGCGAGTTTTATCAAACGCTACATGGTTCCTTCTCTTGAAAAGGAGCGCGGCTTACGCCTTTGGGTGGCAGACAGGAATTCAATGCCCGGTACATCTATAGCTGAAAATATCACACATGGGATAAATATCAGTCGGAAATCAGTTCTACTCATAGACAAGGCATACCTTAAAGAAAGTTGGTGTAATTATGAAATGAACATGGCACATGTTGAATCAACTGAGACAAAGAGAAAACTAATTATCATTGTGTTAATGAATGACATTCCATTGAAAAAGCTTCCTATATGTATTATGCGATTTCTACGAAGTGAGCAGACCCTTGAATACCCAAAGCATAAGCAAGATTTAGACACGTTTTGGACTGATCTTGCTGACCAAATTATGAGTTAAATAAATTTTTTTGCAACGAAAACGAATTCCAAATTACAAACTCGGTTTAACATTCCAGTTGACTCCATTAGACGTTACGTCAGGTCAATGCAGTCCAGGACAATTGCGTGAGGCGCGATTGGTTAAACGGATTCTAATTGCCTTGTACTTTTTAATTTGCTTCGCAAAAATCTTTTGAACGTTTTACAGAATTCGAGACTTTCAAAAAATAATTAAAACACACTTGTTTAAACTTGCATACAAATCATAACCAGACAAGGATCATAGTGAAACATAAAGACATAAGTATGTACGAGTATATATTTTATGTGTGTTTTAATTAATCTTAAACGACATTTGCATTTTAGTTTCATTAATGTAGGCTATGTTCTCTTTACATAAGATGTATGAGTCTTCTTTTCATTTTTAGTTTGTTTCTTAATATGTATTGTTTGTTAAATTGATCATTATTGTACAGTGCCTTTGTTCGTATGAAAAGTTTAGTACATGTATGATAATTATTTGAAGTAAAATTGTAGGCCATAAATACATGGAAATGTATAATATATTTTACAATATGAGTGCATATTCACTTAGCCTAAATATTATATCTGAATCAGAAAATATGAGTTTCAAAATTTCTATGGAAGTCTGAAGGATTAATATTGATGGTGACATTTGCTTTGACGTACAGAATGCTAAGTTGTATACACCTTATTTGCATAATGTTCGTGCATATACCAATAAAGGTATTTATTATACTGGAGTTTTTTTGATGGAGAGTGTAAAAATTTGAAACAGAATTATTATAGATGTTTAAATATGTTCAGAAATTATTCATGTGATGAAAACAGGGTAGCTATGGTAAAGGCCAGGGGTGAATATAAAAAACTTGTTAGAAAAAAGAAATTTCTTTATGTCAAAGATCAGTCTAAAAAACTTGAAAATGAACGTGTTTTGAATGCTAAAGCATACTGGAAGATGCTCAGAGGTACTGTTGTAGATAAATGCAATAATTGTAGTTTGTCATCAAATGATTTTCAACGTTATTTTAAAGCTATAAATGATCCTGATTCAGTTTTTTATCAACCAGATGAAGATGTTTTATATTTTAATATAAATACTTGGATGGTGAATTAAGTATTATATTTTCTGAGTTAAATATACCATTTAGTAAACCGTAAATAATAAAAGCTTGTAAAAACTTAAACTCTGGGAAATCAGCAGGTTCCGACTACTTATTAAATGAATTGTTTAAATACGGTTCTTGTTCAACTCATTTTGTTAATATTCTAAATAATCTTTTTAATAAAATATTTGATTTAGGTTACTTTCCGGTACAATGGACCGAAGGCTTTAGAGTACTGCTTAATAAAAAGGGTGACATTAATGACCCAAGTAATTATAGAGGAATAACTTTACTAAGTTCTTTTGGTAAATTATTTACAAACAATATGGTTTAAATTAATTAAATATAATGTAAGAGTTAAAATGTAACACGTTATTAAATCAGTGTACGAAAGGGTAAGGTCCAGAATAAAATATCAAAATGTTTTGAGTGAAGAATTTTCATGTGTGTTAGGCGCCCCACAAGGAGAGTCTTTATCACCTTTTTGGTTCGCCATGTATCTTTATGACATAGAAGAGTATTTTATTATGGATGAATTTGAAGGAATTAAATTAGGTTTCTTAAAATTGCTGTTACTTTTATATGCAGATTATATCGTTATTCTATCTGAAACAGAAGAAGGCTTACTTAAAGGTTTATTGTTATTGGAGAATTATTGTGATAAGTGGAGATTAACTGTTCATATTAAGAAAACTAAAATAATGATTTTCAGAAAAGGCAGACTAAGACAAAACATTTCATTCGTATATAAAGGAGAAAATGTAGAAATTGCCGAAAAATTTACTTATTTAGGATTAGTCTTACAACTGGTGGATCTTTAAATACTTCTTTTGAAACACTATCTTGTCAGGCTTTAAAGGCATTAATATATAAATTACAACTAGATTTGATTAAATTCCCATGTTTAACTGTGAAACATAAACTAGACATTTTTGATAAATTGATCTCACCAATTTTGAACTATGCTTCAGAGATAAGCGATATATATGATTGTTGTAAATTAGAAAAAGTGCATTTAATTTTTTGTAAAACAAATTTTATTTATGGAGAACAAGGTAGAACAAATTTGAAATGCAGAAGAATTGTAAGTGTAATAAAATACTGGCTTAAAATTATACAGCTTGAAGATATAAAATATGTTAAAATAGTTAATGATTTATTTTACAGAGAGTTACAGGTAAGACCAAACAAAAACATGGTTTAGAAGTGTAAGAGATTTAGTACAGCCGCTCTTGGTTTTAATGATGTATGGTTATCTCAAGGCGTAGGCAATGTAGATGTATTTATTAGTTTAGTAAAACATAGGATAAATGATGTTTTTATCCAAAATTGGTTTTCAGAAATAAATAACTCAACTAGAGCTCGTACATATGTTATATTTGCAGATTTTAAATTGAAAAAGTATTTAAACTGTCTTAATATTGAAAAATTTAGAATTGCTCTGTCCCGGCTAAGAGTTCCTTCACATAGCCTCGAGATTGAAACTGGCAGCTGGAAAAAAACTAGTGCTATACCTTTTGATGATAGGAAATGTATAAAATTGTTTTATTTTGGAAGATGAATTTCACTTTATTTTAGAATGTTCCCTATATAATGAATTACGAAAAAAATATATGGAAAAGACCAAATATACCTAAATTTGTAACATTGATGAATTCAGAAAATGAAATAGAAATTAGAAACTTGTCAATGTATATATTTAAAGCTTTCGATGTTCGAAACACTATTCTTTACAGTTAATCAAAAGTTTGTCCCAAGCGCTGTACATACACTTATTTTCGTTTTGTTTTGTGATTTACTTCCTTATTGTTATGATGGTATCCATTTTTTTAACAGAAATATAAATTGAGACGCGTGATAGTATATTCTATTATCAGTTAACGTTTTCTGATTGCTAATAATACTGTGTAACTTAATGATATATGTTTTATAAAGTAGTGACATTGACCATTTGATTGTATTGTATATTTTGTTATATGTACTGTGTATGCATGGGCATATTGCCCAAATGTACTTTGAAACTCTTGTATTGTATCCCAAGGTTTGTAACTTACAAGGTGGTAGTACAAAGTTTCAATAATATGGCCACATAATCCAACCAGAACAACTGGACCTAGCATTGTTTCTGTATTTCAGAATTTTATATTAATAATTGTCATTGTAAGTACATGTAATACTTAATACTGCTAGTGTACGAAAATAAAGATTAAAAGTCAAACAACACAAAACTATATCTTCAAAATCTATCAACGCCTTTCGTACCATAGCTTCTTAGAATAATTACACATAACGAATGTGACGTCCTTTGATCAGATTTAAAAAAAATAATTTGGTACCAAAAATTAACCCTTATACTTAGTACTAATGGCCTGTTAGTTTCATTTGTTATATTTTGACCAAACGTTACAGAAAAGAGCCTGAGGTGGTGGTGGTGTAGTGTGTTGGAAGTTTTCACTCCGGATCATGACTGTAAGCCATATTGAATTGAATAGAGCACAGTTCAGCCGCTGCATCGTTCTTGGGCAGGCTGCCAAGCAGTTTATCAGTACCAGATGCATTCACTTTCGCAGAGAACCGATAACTTCTGTCATGCCAGAGCAGAGGTATAGTGCAAATGACCGTAGAAAGGACTGTATGATCGATCTCAATGAAAGTGACTTGCACCGTCAGGGAATCGAACTAGGATCGCCTGATTCACAGTCTAACACTCTAGGGGTCACTTAGTGTACATAGATTTGTATAGAAATTTTTTTCAGTCTTTTTTTCTGAAACTACAATGGCAAGAACTTAGATACTTGACCTGAGCATTGCTTAGTGGATATCTACATACGCTATATGGGGGTAAAAATTCGCCCGCCCTGGGGGTCCAATTGTTTGTTTGTTTGATTTTACGCCTTTTCCAAACAGTATTTCAGTCATATAGGCGGGAAGTTTCTTAACCATCGTTCCTGGAGAGTTACACAAGTACTAGACTACCTTCCTCCACGCTAAACTACCAAAGCATCATCTGGGGATCGAACCCAAGCCAGAGAGGTAACTGGATTAGAAGTCATCGACTCTAACCCCTCGACCACGGAGGTCCATTTGTTAACATAAACTAAAATAATTATAATAAATAGATAATAGATATTTTTCTTTGCACAATCGGTTCATTTTTACTTTTACGACATCGATAAGAAATAAAAAGAAATTATATATATAATTACCAGTATAATCTAAATGCGTTGCTTCTTCAGTTGGAATATGATTGTCTACAAAATTAATAATAGTCAAGTCAACGTTTAATTGAGTAAATAAAATCCATCGGTCCAGAATATATTTCATACAAAATATAAGAGGAAAATGGAGACACATCAACACCAGAGCTAGTTTAGGCTATCTATTTTTTTTACAGGTTTCTGTTCTATCGAACCTTCAGGTCAAAATTGTTAATAGTCAAGTCAAGTATTTTATTGTGTAGGTTGAAAATACATATCATACAAAAGTTTAACATTTAAAGGTTGTGTCGCTATTCATATAACAATTTCTTATAACACATAATCATCTACTCTGTTACAGGGGTCAAGAGATAGTTAATTTAAGCAGAAACTTCCTCATTCAAAATTACTTTTGATGTAAAAACAATCGAGTGAAATAAAGATTTCACGAGTGGCAGTAGCCTTGAGTGAGTGAAGTATGATACTTGTCATATCACAAGATGAAAATAAATCTTGTATTTAAAGAAAATAAAACTTTAATTTTCTGTTTAATGTATACTTGTTCCCTTTTTTAACTTAAAATTTGAGATATCTCCCATTAAATTTTATGTATTGGTTTAATGTAGTTGAAAATAGTCATTTTATTTAATCAATTCATTTATATGTATATAATTAATACAAGTACATGTAATTTAATTCAATTTCAGAATTAAACCAATTTAGTAAATAGTTATTCCTTATTTCAGAATATTGTCTTCAATGAAAAAGCATGGTATTCACAGTCATTATAAAAAGTGAAACGATTTTCAATAAAAAAGTTCAAAAACGTTCTTGAAAAGGTATAAGTAAATGCCTACTATTAACATAGCCTACCTTTTTCAACAAGTTTATTATTTGAACGCCGAACTTTGCATGTGCCCTTTCCTTGTTATAAAATATAACGTTCTACATGCTGTTTGTCCTAAATATAAATGGAACATTATTGCACACATATTTTCATTTTAATGAACATATAGTTTGAATGACTGAATAGATGTCAGGTGATAGAATATCAAATTATACAATACAAATATTGAATATAGAACAAAAATTTAATTTATTGAATTTTGCAACGTTTAACATGTCATCTTGCATTATTAATTTTATACTGCGAATGTTCGGTACAACAATTTTATTAAGCGTTGCCCTAAAACAGATTAAAAAATCGAGACATAGCCATATTAATAACAGTATCAAAGTATCGCATTTTGCGTCATTAAAGATAACGACACGATGACATAATAGTTTACACCAATAGCGGAGGCCAGTTTAATGTAAAAAGGTAAAAACAGTTGAGTTTTTCCTAACCACCGTGTACATTAGGTAAATCTTTACAAAGCACATTGTAAAACAGAGATTTTTTTTCGTTGGATTGAATTCATTTCCATTGAATCTGTGATCTAAAAAAAAGAATTTTTAGTTGATCATTGTATGTAACTACATTTGTATTTCATTTATGAGCAACTTAGCAAAAAGGTTTTTCGTTAACCCTGGGTGGCAAAAAAGTGCTCTTTGGGCCTTGTAAAACCAGTTAGCTAATGATAAGTGTGGTGTAAACAACAAGCCAATATATCTATGAACAAACAGAAGTGGTTTTTATTTTGTTGACCACAGAGTGAAAAAAGATTTAAGACCTTCACTGAGGTTCCTAAATTCATAAATACATAACATTTGAATTTCGTACATTGATCAACTGGGACACTTAAAACAGAAAAAAATATGAAAGAAAAACAATAAAGAAATCTACTCAGAAATAAGTTTGACAATTATCGTTATTTGTGCTCTACTTTAGTTCCGATTTGAGTGAAAAAACGTGCGTTGCAACGCTTTTTTTAATTTTTGTGTTTATTTGCACAATTTAAAATAATTATTCAGGGAAAAGGCGGAGTGAGTAAACGATATAAATTCTTGCCTTTAAGTGATTGCTTTAGACCTAATCAAATGGAAGATTAATCTTGAAAATTAATTTTATGTTAAAAAAAACCCTCTATGATGTCCTTTTAATAGATACGGAGGCGACCTCCATTACTAAATAAAATTATTCTCTGTATCTGTTCAAGATTAATTAACATACATGTATCAGTATTTAAGCAAAATTGATCAAGAACATGAAATTGTTGCTTCGGTTTTGCAGTTGTTTCAGCACAATTTTGGGACATCGACGTTAGGACCAGCAAATTACTGACACTTTGTCATGCGACAAACCTTCGAAATCTCTAGACCATTCTGTATTCGATATACTAGGAATCAGACATACTTTAGGATAGTCTCTGATAAAATGGTGCAAATTTTTTTATTCTTCAGATACTTGCATTTGTGAAACACGAAAGTCTTTGAAACCTTTTTTTTTTCGATCATCTTTGTTTATTCTTAAGTCAGATATTATGTTACTTAATCTAAAACGAATTGCAACCATACTGTTTGCTTTTAACTAATCATATGTTTAACTAAACCATGGAGAGTAAAAAAACTCTTTAAGTACACACTGTCCAGCAGCATCTTTGTATTTAATACAGGTCGATCGCAGAATTATTGTTAATTTATGCTCGTACAATGTAGTTTTGAAGCAAGTAATCTGTAGTTGCAGAAATACGCCATTTATATTTATCAAAATCGTTCGATAAAATAGGTCCTTTCTTCTATTGACACTTATTCGTCCCCATACTATGAGAGGACCCTCAGTCGTATCAGTCGTGTTCCCGATATGCAAGCAGGTCGAACACGTTCATTGTTTTTTGTCTACGCTCTGATGCGTCTATCTGTGAAGTATACCTAACATCTAGACACATCTTTAGAAAAAACAAAGAGTCCAATTGTGGATTTCTCTGGACGTATGAGTTCTATGACGTGATTATTCGTCAAGGAAACACGGATGGCGGAACACCTTGCCACTTATATCAATATCATGCAATATGTTCTTTAATGTCTGGGTATATTCCAGCACATTTACTGCGTTCTGAAATTGTTTCTTATTCGAAACGAACTGGAAACGGCGGCTGCACCGGGGGCCTGAACAGTAACATAACGGTTTTTCTGCATGTTTTGCACAACTTGAACTCACACCAACATTCCTTCGATCTTAAAATGATTTGACATTCGTTTGAAAAACAACACTAAGGGGGAAACACACAATGTGCGGGAAACCTACACCTGCCTCCCAGACATGCTTGGCTGCAGCATACCACCATTATATATTTACCTCATCTCTTCTAAGATAAAGAATTATTATTCTGAATACTTACACAAACGCTGAATTGTTAATTTTAAACAAAAACAAAAATACACTCGGAATTTATGCCGTCCGTCGCAATCTTGATTGTTGTTGATCACGAAGTCCTCGAGCTTCATTTGTAGTTATGTACAATAAATCCATTGAATTGCTATAACGCAAAGGCTATAAATTTTATTTGGATTTACATTGATGTCTTTGCTCAGGTTATTGGTGAGGCTGTCATCAGTGGCCCTTTTCAAATTTTCATCAGTATATATGACACCATTAGACTTGCAATAAGTATTGTGATATCACATTAGACATAACTTCTGTGATATATCAACCTTCCGTTTTCTTATACCCCAACCATGTCTCCTTCTCATTAAATTGTAAATTTTATAACGGATATTGAAATAATTCTGGGTCTCTCTTTTCTTCGCCCTTGTGACCGCTACCGTTTCTGGTTCTGGGTACCGTGTCAGCGCGGCTTTGTTACAGCAGGTGCTGTGTTCTTTTATAATCAACATGTTGTAAATTTTCAATGTTCTTCTAAATTAAAAGTTTGTTATCTTTCTCTTCTACTAACTTTAAACAATCTTCAAAACAGTTTGGTGCAATTTATGACAGTAACTGACAAAACATCAGCCGTTTTGAAGCTCTATTGAAGACAAATTTTTAATTTGCCTTTTTCACTCGTTTTAATGTTTTCGATTCTGCGTTTAAGTTTTCTTTATGCCTTCTTATTTGGACCACGGATGAATTTCTTGTTTG